TACCTTCTCATTGGCCTCATTGACCTTATTACAAATTGAACCTTAATCAACAAGGTAGGGAGCAAACCCCTTTATAAAATATATGCCTTTTAATGTCTGATAAAATCAAAGTTGTTATTGCAATGGTCAATTGGTCCAATAGCAATAATGTTCTCTTTCCTTTAAAATAAAAGATTGTAATTAATCTTTTCCTTTATCTTAGATTTTTGTCATCTATGTATGTGTGTGTGCCTAGGTGGCAATGGGAAAGGGCCATATGATTTCAAATTTTCAAGTAAAAGAGATCTCCCCTAAGACATTAGATAACTTGAAGACAAAACTATTTTTAATGGAACACATTAAAGCATAAATTTTCCACAAGACCAGCTGGCCATGGGGCTCTAGCATCCTGATCTACATTTTTCCTAGGGGGCACGTTCATTTGACCTTGCCAAAAGGCTTCATCATTCTCCTTGGTTTTGGAGTAGATTGGCTGTCCTTGGAAGAGGATTCATCCTCCAGAGAGTTGTTAAAAAATGTTCATTGTGCTAGAACAAGGTTTATTAATTTTCCTTGTTCCCTCTTTTATATTTCTACCATCTTTAATTCTCATTCTTACTATGGCCGTCTGGTGTCTAGATTTTAGTTATAGCCTGACAATTTGAGTGTGCTACATTACTCCGCTCAAATTATAAAACAATAAAGTGTGTTTACTTTAAAATTTTAAAATAAATAATTAAGAATTTGTATAAAAGGTTACACACTCCACGCATATATATTCTTTATTCTTGAGTAACGTATACATACAGAACACACACGTTAACAATATTAGGGTATATATGGTACAATCACATCATTCTCTTCACTCAAACAAGCAAGATTAAATGACTGCCAGGGGGGGTGAGGAGGAGCAAGCAGCCAGGGTGGTTTGTCCTAATCTATATATATGTTTGAATCCCACCTAATTTATTTCAATAATTTAAGCATATCTCACGATTATTTGGGTGGAATGCAACGAAATTAGCGTGAGTAGACACACACACAAACCCATATCTTAAGTACCTTTAGCTACTAGAAATTGATGGTTCCATGATGATGGTTGATACTTGCAGACAATCTGCCGCTGTTGTGGCCTCCGGCGCCCAAGCCAACATTGACATTTGCATTTGGGGGCAATTGGATCTCACCTTCACGCCAGAACAAGGGAGCTCCATAACCCGGATCTATATTAATATTCTCACTTGGAGGCGCTATCCTATGCCTCCGGTTACCATGGACTTCTTTAACGCCATCTGAGTCCATTGTCACCTCAACTCTGCCTTGAGTCCAAGGGTCACCAGCGCGAGGACCTTTGTTGAGGTTTTGGGGAGCCGGAGGCGATGCCAGAGGCTTCCCGTCAGAAGGGAATTTTTTTGCTCCATCTGAGTCCGTTTTCATATCAACTCTGCCCCAGTTAGTCCAAGGGGTTCCGATTCCGGAGCCAATGTTGTGACATGGGGAAGCTGGGAACATTGGGGGCACCGGCGGTACTGGGGGAACAGGGGGTGCCACAGCCATATGACAACCACCCATGAACCAGGGGGGCCTCATTCCATTCGGGGGCATTGGCATCTCACCTCCACCCCAAAACCAAGGGGCTCCATTGCCGGGACGTATGTTGATATTTCCATTTGGGGACACTTTCATGTCACTCTCACCTCTGAAGAAGGCAGCTTTTGCCCCGCCTTCATCACCAAAGCCAGAGCACCCTCTATTCTTCTTTTTTTCGGAAGTAGATGACTGTTTATTTGGGCGGTCTTCCGCATGGGAGGATTGTTGAAACGAACTGAAGGAAGCCATGTAGCTAGAAACTGTTATGTGCTTTGCTTGGCTTTCCTGTTATGTTTGAGCTCTTATTTATGGAGGTGGGAAACGGAATCTTCAATTTAATTAATTGAAAGATCATTATAAATTTTTATATTCGTATGCTCAAAATAAATTTTTATATTCATTATGAAAGCGTGATGGAATTTGTTTTAGTACGTATAACACTTTTTGTTCTTTATATCTAATTCATCAGCGTATTAATTTTTTCACATTTGATTTCATTTTGATGTGCTTTTAAAATTATTTTAAAAAATTAAATTTTAAAATACTTAAAAATAAATTAAAACCACCTTAACTACTAAGAAAAATTTGTGAATAAATCATTTTCTTTGATCTATTAATTAAAATTTCCAGGGAAGTACAATAAAAATGATTTTGTTACAATAGCTTACAAAGATTTCATTTTTAGTACAGTTAATGCACTTTTAATTTATATTTTAAAAATACATATTAAACAAATTGTTTATTTTATCTTCAATAACAAAGCGTGTATATTTAATAACGATAGAATCGAGTCTTAAAGAACTAGAGAGTGTTACGAGAACTTATTTAGTGGGGGAGGCCTTTATGATGTGCACCTGCACCGGTTCCTATAGAAGCACGTGTTGTGGGTGAAGTTTTTTTTGAACAGGTGTTGTGGGTGAAGTTAAAACACAAAATGTCGACTACATAGAGTAATCGATATCTTGTAGCTAGGATTTAATTTGCCAATGTATGGACCTAACAAGCAAGCAGATACGTTCAAGGACACTTATTGATATAATTTTTAATTTAATATGTTGTATAATAAATTTATTAAAAATTATTATTTTTTGTTTAAAATTAAAAATAAATCAATTTAAAAATATCATTATATATATAATTCAAAAACTAACTAAATCGATCATATCTATATTATATTTTAATGATTAAATCAAATAAGTGTTAAACCAAAAATTGTATCTCATTTTCCTAAAAGCAAACTTGGTTCTTGGAAGCTAAGGATGATTTGAAATGCGAGATATAAATCTATGGAAGGATGTGCGTTTGTTTGTTTTTATATATTTAAGTCGTCCTGTAATTTTTTTACATGTTGGCTTTTTTTTTTTCTTATTATTATTAGAAATTAATGCTTAATATTGTAGGAATTTGAATCTTATAACTTGATATAAATACCATCTTTTTGTACTTGACTATTCTGTGTTTTCTTGGAGGAGCCTTTCTTGTCCTCTGTGATATCTATTTGAACATAACATCAGCGCTACAACTACCGGTGGATGCCAAAAGATGAGAATTTTCAGAGTGCGTACTGAAATATTCTTTGGTAAATGGATACTGAAATATTCTTTGGTAAATGGATACTGAAATATTTTGCCTCGTACGAATGATGTTGTTGATTAAGGCTTGTTGGTGGATGCCTAGGCTAGATGGGATTATAATTTGTTCCGAAATTCAAACTTGTTCTGCATCATGTTTTGACATTAAAAGGGTGATCGATCCCCTCTTTTATCCTTTCAAAAACAGGCTCACCGATCTTTTCCTCTTTCGTCAACTTCTTTGCTAGATTCACCGTAATTTTAGAGAATATAAACCATTATGGCATTTTTTCTTTTTTGAACAGCAAACATACTATTATTAATTAATAAACGAAATATAAGGGGTATTCTAAACTTGAATACATCAAAAGTTAACACAAGGTGTCGACACCCAAAGGAAGTGTCGACACTACACCCGTGACGGGGAATATGCCCTCTTTTGCATTCTCAACAAATCTCCCTGTTTAGGTCCACAAACCAACGCCCGACACACCCGCTGACCCACAAGCCATTGATCATGCATTGACTATAGCTGAAATTCGCTATAGTCAATGATTGCTCAATAAGCCTTATTGAGCCCCCATTACACAGCACCTTAATCCTTCTAAACAAAACAAAGATAGACCTTCCAGATATCATCAATACCTTCCCCTCCCATAGATTATTTATATGGTACCCTTCTCTTCCTATGGCCATCTTTCAAGCATGCCACTGGATTAAGAAACCAATCCGTTAAAGTGAAGACGTACCTTTCTTTTTTTGCTGTGATCCACTGGAATGACTTTAATTGGATGAGTTCCAGCAGCTTCTCCCGGTTAATCTCTTTGCCTTGGAATGTTTTTTGATTTCGAGCCAGCCACACTGTCCACACAAGAGAGTTCCAAATGCAATCCCATCCATCTCTAATACATTTCTCTTTTAGTTCTCTTCCTACAACTTGAAAGGTATTCCAACAGTTCGCTCCCAAAGTAACATTAATACCCCACCATTTTGCACAAGCCATCCATATCCATCGGACCATATTACATTCCAGAAACAGATGCTTTGTGTCCTCTTCTACCTCACCACATATTCCGCATTTGCAGTCTTGAATGTCTTTGATGATCCCTCTTGTCAACAGGTTCATTTTAGTTGGGATCCTGTCTAGTAGTAATTGCCAGTTGAATGCTGAGTTTTTGCTTGGCAGAACGGAATTCCAAATTCTTGAGAGGGTTGTAATTTCCGTTGCTTCCCTCCCTTCTTTCGTTAGAATTGAGTAAGCTAATTTTGTTGAATATTGGCCATCCTTGTTGTGGGTCCATTCCCAGCTATCCATGCCTCCTTGTGACGTCTGCACATTTTGAATCGTGTTGTGTAGTTCCATTGCCTCCTCCTTTTCCCACTTGAACAAGTTCCTCCTCCATGTTAAGTTCCACTCCCACAAACCGTTAGATCTACTTCCCATTTCACTGCACATCTTCATCTTCCCTGTAGATAACAAGTACAGTCTTTGAAACATATTAGCTAGACACTCCTCTCCCCTCCATTTGTCCCACCAAAAACTGACCGTATTACCCTCCCCGATCTTAACCCTAAATCCCTCTTTTAGCCATCCATTGCTGTCCCCATCCATTGCGTTTATACCACACACAGCCCTCCACCAAGTTGATCCTACTCCTCTACTTTCGTCTATCTAGTCTTGCCAATGACCCCCTCCCTTTCCATATTTTGCAACAATAATTTTTTTCCACATGCCCTCCCCATTGTCTGCAAGCCTTCCCCACCATTTTCCCATCAATGCCAAGTTGAAATTCCTCAAATCCCTCACTACTAAACCTCCTTCCTCTTTCTTTTTACACACTTTATCCCAGCTAATCCAATTTATTTTTCTCTCATCTCCCTTCCCCCCCCATAAAAAACTTCTACGTAATTTATCAATGGAGTGAATTATACATTTTGGGAGAACATAGATAGACATCAAGAACACTGGCAGACTTGACAGCACTGAATTGATGAGCGTAATGCGGCCTCCCATAGATAGGTACCGACCCCTCTAGCTGGCTAGCTTCTTTCTAACAGACTCCACCATCGACTGCCACATAGCTCTTCTTCTGTGATTCCCTCCAATTGGTATTCCCAAATACCTAAATGGCAATTTTCCTTCCTTGCAGCATAACTGAAATGCCATTTTAGCACACCAATTTTGATCAACTCCCACCCCAATCAACTGGCTCTTCCTGAAATTAATTTTCAATCCCGAGGCTAACTCAAATGTCCTCATAATACATTTGATCACCCAAATATTGTCTTCCGTTGCATCTCCAAAGAAGATTGTGTCATCCGCAAATTGAAGGTGCGTGACCATCACATCTCCGCTCCCAACTACCACTCCTTTGCATCTCCCCTTCTCCACTGCCGATGCCACTAGTCCATTCAGTCCCTCTACCACTATCAAGAATAAGAAAGGGGATAATGGATCTCTTTGGCAAATGCCTTTATTAACCGGGAATTGGTTCGTCGGACTGCCATTGATAAGAATAGACACCGAGCTCGATTTCAAGCACTCCTGAATCCATTTCCTCCATGTTGCACAGAATCCCATCCTCATCATCATATAGTCTACGAATTCCCAGCATACCTTGTCGTAGGCTTTCTCAAAGTCGACTTTAAATAGAAATCCCTTCTTCTTTTTCCTCTTGACTTCATCAATAATCTCATTTGCAATCACTGCTCCCTCCACTAATTGCCTTCCTTCAATAAAAGCCATCTGCTGCTCCCCAATCACCTTAGGTAGCACCTTCCGTAATCGATTTGCTAGAAGCTTTGCAATGATTTTGTATGTGACTCCTATCAAGGAAATGGGCCTGTATTCCTTGATTGCTTGTGGATTTTCAGTTTTTGGAATTAACACAATGAAGGAGGCATTTGACCCTTTGACTAATCTTCCATGTTGTTGGAACTCCCGTACAAAGTTGAATATATCAGCTTTTATAACATCCCACATTGACATGATGAATCTGAAGTTGAATCCGTCTGGTCCTGGGGATTTGGAAAGGTCACAGTTCCATATTGCTTCTTTAATTTCTTGTTCCGAAAAAGCAGTCGTGAGGAGCTCATTATCAGCCTTTGTGATTTGCCTAAAGCATATTCCATCTAGCTTTGGTCTCCTCCATTTTTCTTCTGTAAACAAATCTTGGAAGTATTTAGCAATCTCACGCTTTATTACCTCCACTCCTGTGTGCTG